CATCCCCGCCAGGAGGAGGAGCTGGGGGGACTTCTCCTCTCTTTTGGGAATCCAGGGCTCCCCCTAAAATCCCATCCAGACAAACCTGGGGGAGGGGACTCAGCCCCCTGCCTCACTTTGGCTTCTTTCCCTGAGAGGGGTGGAATAGGAACAAGAGTCTTATTGCACAATAGGGTCTTACCTCCCTCTTCCACCTTTTTTTTTTTTTTTTTCCTCCCTATGTTTCTAGGACACCTGTATTTTGTTTATACATGAGACACAGGAGAGAGACTACAGGTTTAGAATAAGCGCTTCTATAACATTTGCAATTAATTGAATCTGTTGTAGTTGCTGTGTACTGCATATTGGTGAAAGTCAGTAAGAGATCTTTACTGTTGCCAGAAAATATTTTCAATTTTTACATTTGCAAATAAAAAAAGAAAAAACTCTAGTGAATAAATTAGCTTCTCCTAAGAACTAATTTCAGTAAAATGAAAATAATGTACTCAGGATTTTCCTGGGTCAGTTTGCTCATTAATTTTATTTTCTGAAAGTACTTTGTCAGAGATACCTATTTAAATTAAGATAAACTACCAGGAAAACATTTTTGACTTTCCAATGTCAGGGAAAAATGGAAACACATATTACTCAATACATTTATTCTACAGTTTTTAGAACACAATAAATAGTGTAGCATTTTCTATCTTTTTCCTAATGAGACCCAAATTCCAAAGTGAAAATTATAAATCAGTCTTCATGAAATGATATTTAACATAAGCAAATAAACAAAAGAGAATTGGGGCCCAGGTTCTGCAAATGGAGGAACGTGGGAATTGCTGCCCTGGATTAGACCTGTAAGATGAACAGTACGTAAAGATTTTCTTTTACTTTAAAAAAATTATCTCAGGACCAGAAACAGGCAAGTTTATGTAGCTCCTGTTTTATAATTCTCTAGGACACAAATAAATTTTGGGTGTGTAAATATACAGTCTTCAAGGCCTCATGGAATTGTGAGGCAAGTTACAGTTGCACAATAACTAGATTATTTGTCTGCTTTTTAATTAGTTTATTTGCCGATTAATTGAATATCCTCTCAGGTTGCTTTTTGGAATTAGGTTAGGTTTTATTTTATTGTGGTAGCAAAAGGCTGGCATTTTTAACAACACTGTCAAACTAGGCTCTCTCTTGGATGATTCAGTCATGTGTCATCTGGCTTGGAGGGAGGTCTGCAGCCCCAGTGCTGGGGTTTATTCATGCTCCTTCGCTTTAACTTTTATTATTATTATTATTATTTATTCTAAGATGCATCATTTTTAGAGTGTTTTGAAGGATTTTTGAGTTTTTGGTGTCCAGACCAAAATACAGTACCCTAAAAGAGGATGTACTGTGTATCGGTTTTAGTCTTTATTATCCCTGTGTTATCCCATGTATTGTCTAACTTTTCTCTTTTTTGGTGGTGTTTTTGCTTTTGCATTTTGGTTATTTAATGAAGAGATTCCTAGAGCTTTCCACAGTAAAGTGCTGGTTCTTGCTGGAATGGGAACTTGGTAGTTTGCTTTGGTTTTGTTTTTTTTTTTTTTCCTAGGCATAACATTTCTTCTAGGCATAACACTTCAATGCTAAACTGAATCTGTCCTCGTGTTCACCCTGAATAATAGGATTATTCGGGTAGGAAGAGGCCTTAGGAGGTCTCTAGTCCAGCCTCTGGCTCAAAGCAGGGTCTGCTGTGAGGTCAGACCAGGTTACTTGGGAATTTACCCAGTCTGGTCTTAAACCTCAAATCAAGGAGAGTATCCAGCCTCTGTGGGCAACCTGATGTAGTGCTTGACCATCCTTCTCTGCTAGAGAAGACCGTCCAGTCTTCTCTGCTTTCTTGGGCTTACCTTTTCTCAGCCGATGCTGGTGATTCCTGCTTGTTTCCCCGCTGTGCATGGCAGTGGGGAGCCTGGCTCCTTGCTCTCTTCTCATGGGTGCACAGGCCTCTTGCTGGGTCCCTGAAGCCTGTTGCCCAGCAGGCTGGACAAGCCTGGCTCCGAGAGCCTCTCCTCCCAGGGCAGGGGCTCTGACACGTTACCTAGTCCCATCCACCCCAGTTTGGTGTCTTCTAAAAATCCGCACGACATGGCCTCTTTGCAGGCATGGGTAAAGTTGTTAAACAGGACAAGTTCCCAGATAGACCCCCATGCTGCTGTTACCGGCCTCCAGGTAGGCTGCAAGCCACCATCCAGTGCCTGCTGGGCCCTGCAATCCAACTGGCTTTTACCCATCTACTTGCTCATCCATTCCAAAAAGAGGGCCATTTTCCTGCTCACTGATATACAATTTTTTAAAGCTTCCTTGTCTTCTTATGGTGTCTTTTTAGTGTAATTTCATTCTTAGCATTTTTTCCCCCCACAATGAAAATATAGCAAATAATCTCTATGCATTGAACAGTTTCAACGTTCATGAATATTTTCTCACTCTAACTAGTTTTCTTAATGAACTTCTTGTGACCATTGCCTTTCTTTAATTTACAAGGAACCCAGTTGTTTTCTTTCAGAGTACTGACAGATTCTTATAATATATATATTATATTCTTATAATAATATATATTATATATATATTATATTCTTATAATAATATATATTATATTCTTATAATATTATATTCTTATAATATATATAATATTTTACAGTGCAGTTTTTAATCATTTCAACCTCAACCTGAAGTAATGCTAGGTAACATTTTTAAAATATATTTTCTTGTTGCTGTTGCTTTAAAAAGACAATATCCTTGGTCTCTAGCCCAAGTGATGTGTTATATTTCTTTTCTTCCCATTTGAAAAGTTAATTTTGATAGGCATTCGTGTTAGACGATAAAGTGTCTGGACAGGTACATCACTTGCATTCCTTATTTAAAATCCATAGTAAAGGAACAATTTTGTTTTTATTTAATGGCTATACTTGAGTAGTTGCTTTGTCTTGTTGGCAAAACCTAGCTGTTCTTGTCCAGGTATCTTGTTGATCTTCTTCTAAAATAATTTCCTGTTCATTTCTAGATTTTGTTGATTTTGAAATCTTTCCAGTTTTATGCTCAGGTTATTATGATCTTCCATTTTGCACAGCTTCATTAAGCTATATTTCTATTTTAACTGGGAATCTTACTAGTCTAGCTTTATGTGTGTGGTATGTGTTGGCCACAAACTGTTCCCTTGCTTGCCATTCATATGAATTGTAGCTGTCTCATGCCAGTGACGGGCCTTCCCTAGCTCACCTGAATATACAGCAGAACATGCTAAAATGCTTCCCGATTTCAAACTGTGTAAGAATATCTTTTGAAAAACCCCTTAGCATGACTCACATAACCACGCTGTTTTGCTATGCAGCCACAAATCTGTAGCTACTTTGCCACTTACCCGACTTGTTTTTTTTTTAATGTACCCAACAACAGAAATGGTGAAATTCCTTCCTCTTCCACTTGACAGTTCGGATCCAGACTCTTGCACCTCCGTCTACCTCTGCGATTCAAGTAGATTTTAGCTCCAGTCTGAACTGGTGGGATACATTGATGAAAGTCTTCAATTGTTTACAAAACTGCAGGGCCAAATTTTCTTGCTTTCTAACATTCCTTTTAAACGAAGTACTGCTTTGCTCATGGTTCACACAGGCACACACATTTACAACTATGAAATTACTTTATACTTTTTTTTTGATTGACTGTCTGTCTTCTGGATTTGTGATTCATTTGTGATTTTGCTTAGGGCTGTCTTGATGCAGACAAATAACAGAGCTTCTGTTATCCTTGCTAGATGTCATCTGTCAATAGCCAGATAATGTTTGCTGTCAGTATTTCTGACCTGTCAACAGGATCAGGGTATGGACGAGTAACGTTCCCTCTTTCGAGGGAGGATTGAGGTTGAGGGGGAAGATTTGGGGTGCAGTATTTTGTTTTGTTTAGTTATTCATTTATTTTCCGTTCAGAGCATGACTAAATCGTGTTATCTTTACTGACTAATAGTGTTCTTCTCCACTTTCCATCCCAGTTTATAGTAGTGGATGGTGGATTCACGTGTGCTTACCATTTTGTTGTTTTATTTTCTGTTTGGCTTATTGAGCATGGCAGCGTGTGACCTGTTTGCTGACTTACTGTGAAGTGCAATGTTGTTTAAGTGTATGTCTGGATGTTTATGTAAAATACTAAATGCATGTGTTGGATTTTTATATAAAGGGAAAAATATTCTGCTACCTGTGTAAGAACTTCTGGCTGAATTAAGTAATTAAATGAAGAGTGCATAATTAATTACCAAACTTAATGTAATTCTTTCTGGCCAAAGAAATGGCTGAAAATGTATGCTAAAACCGTATTTAAAAAAACAAATAATTAAATGGAAAACTTCCTTACTCCCCCCCTTTGAGTCTTTTATCAGGAGAGCCAAAGGAAATGCCTACCTTATGTTGTCATTGGAACAGCATTTATTTGAGGTTCCCTTAGGCCTCTTTTTTTACCCAGCTAACTAAGCTATGCGTGTGCAGTGAAAGTCTTTTTTTTTTAATTAAAAAAAAAAGTTTTTTCAAAAGAAATGCTCTGCTTTTACAGTAGTTTCCATTCGTGCTTAATAAAGGTTTTTACAAATTCTAGTTTTTCTCCAGGGATGTTCATATAAATACTAATCATTAAAAAGTACTTCTTCCTGATTTATATGCAAGGAAGGAATGGCAGAAGTCATGTTTATTCAGCACGACAAAGGGAGTCTGTAACACAGCAGGTTTTAGGCCCTGGACAATCCTGACCAGGAGTCTTCTGCTATAGCCATTAAGTCCTTCTCCTTCCCTCGTAAGCGTTTCTGGAGGCTGCGCTGCAGAACGATGCCGTAGCGGTGGGCATGGAGATGTGTGTGTGTTGCTAAGAAACTACACGGGCTGTTTTGGACCAGTCGCTGTGATAAAGTGGCTGCCTGAAGTTGTCCTGTGTGGAAAAGGGCCACTTTAGGTGACGTGCGTTTTGCTCCACCGATTTCTGACCTGCAATGCTTGCCTTTGCAGATGGAACATGAGGATTTTGTAATGGAAGGGCATGGCAAGACTCCACCTCCTGGTGAAGAAAACAAACAGTGAGTCACATGTTTATTTAAAAAAGGGCCTTACCATAGTAAATGGTGTGAAGCACTCGTGTTTAAACGCGCTAGGAGCATTGGTGGTTCGCTTGGTGCTCGCCCTTTTATTTCATAAATATCCATATTTAATACTGGATGGTGTCTGGAGAAGAATCAGGACATTGACTTGTCTTAAGTTTAAAAGCATAGAGATGTGTTGCAACTGAAGTTGCTAAATCAGAATTTACTATCAAATAGATGATAATTCTAGAGGTTTGCCACTGAGGTAGTGAATTTACCTTTTATTTTTAAGTGGAAAATCATGCTTGAAGATTTTACATGTGTGGTTTTTTTTTCTTTTTCAGCGAAGTCATTTGAAATACATTAGAACTAGGGCTTTTGTTTTGCTGTGCTTTGGTCCTCTTTGAGATATAACCCTTACTTGCTTAAAATGTGTTTTAATAAACACAAATTGTAAACAAGATGGACAAGTTAAGATGCTAGTGCTCAGTACTCTGGGGAAGGAAGGAACAGCTTGGTTAAAGAAGAAAATGATAGCTTTCTAGTAGCAAAAGGCACGTATAAAATGTGCACGTATGATTTCCGATTGAAATCCAGAAGCAGGAGGGTTTTTTATTTTCTGAGGGGTTTTGTTCACGACGGAAGCGCAGAGCCCTCTCCTAGTGGTATTTTGGTGATGGCGGTCTTCAGTATGGCTTGGGGAGTATGCTTTGCTTCACCCAATGCAAGGATAAATGAGTTTTATTATGGTAATTAATTGATTTTCCTGACTCACTTTCGGAGCAAGCAAGAAACTGTCCTTTGACAAATCCTGAGAACGGAGCCTTTTGTCCCTCTGCCTGGTCGGCTGTTGCCTCCTCACGAGGAGGAGCTGCCTCGGGGCCCAGCAGTGCCCTGTGCTGGCCGCAGAAAGGCTGCGGTTTCCCTGGGGAGTGAAGGTCTTCCCTACCTTTTAGATAAGGCGGCAACTCGAAGTCCACGAGAAAAGGGCTCCGAGGTAGCCAAGATGCGCGCAGGGAAGTGGTGGTGCTGAGCGTGCACATTCTTTCCAGCGTGGAAGTGAGCCAAACTTTTCCAAGTAATTGCTGCTATTTCTTTCTATACAGACTTGCCCGTCAGTGGTACCGAGAGATACAGAGCTTGTGGCCAGTGAAACTTTCAGAAAGTTCCAGAAGGAAATCAGTGCAGCAATAAAAAAGGGGGAGTTAGATTTCTGCTCTCTGAATTGTTTCTTTAAACACTTAGCGGCACAATGAAACATGTTATTGTAGTGAATAATATGAGGGGTGTTTTATTGGGTTTATTATAGCCTTTTGTTTGCTGTCTTTTCTTTTTAGCTGCAACTCGAAGCTAGAATTATTTTACAGTTGACCTGATTTCTAACTATAGCTTTTGAGCGCCTTACAACATCTCTTCCGCAAAACTATCATTACTGGAAAGAGACTAAGATTAGTGGTATGCAGGATTTTTTTTTTTTCCTCTCTAAGAAGTTAGAGTTCAAAGTATTATCTGGAATCTTGTTATACAGACCGTTTCCTAAGGTGTTTCATTCCTAATAATGTTATTAATATTTTAATCAACCTCTAAAACTGCAATTTTTGTTAATACAACTGTTATTACAGATAAATATGTGTTTTGTACAATGGCAGCACAGTGCCAGCAATATTTGCTTGCAGGTATTGCTTTTAAATTCAAATTGATCACTTGAATTTATTTCTACCACAATCTCAGATTTTCTCCTAACAAAGTGGTCAGCCTAGATGGACCTTACCTCTTGTTGCAAGTGACACGTTGATTTGGCAACTGGGTTAAAGTGGTGATAATCATAGAGGACCTAGTAATTTATACTGTTAAGTGACTCCAAAAAGAGATGCAACTCTGCAGCTGCAAAGAGCTGACTTCAAACCTGTCAGTATGGATCACACACACACACACTTATAAGACTGCCTCTTCATACTATTACGCAGTTTAGGTATTAGGTGGACATCCTGAAGCAGGTGTAGTAAAGGGTCATGAAGAAAGACTGGAGCATCTGACCTAAAAACAGAAGTTGAGAGAATTGAGTCTACTTAGCCTTGAGTGAGGAGGCTGTGGGGGAGGATCTTACCAGTGTGTATAAAGAGCTGATGTGGGGGGAGGAAGAAGAAGGAACCAGGCTCTTCTGCATAGTATCCAGTGAAAGATCAAGAAGCACTAAATGAAATATGGCGCAAAATGTAATATGGGAAATTTAGTTTACGCATAATAAAAAACTTTTTACTGCGAGGATGGTCAAACATTGCAATGGATAGTGCAGAGAGGCTGTGGCTTCTTCATCCTTTGAGATGCTCAAAACCCTGGTCCTAAACAACCTGCTGTAGGTGGCCCTGCTGTGGGAAGGGAGGTTGGACCAGCCAGTCTCCAGAGGTGTCTTCCAACCTCAGTGATTCTCTGACCTGAATGTGTGAGTTTACTGTTGTCCTCGTAGCTAGTTTGAAATAAAATTGAAACTATTTGGTTTTGTCGTAATAAAAATGAGTAGCTCACAAGTTTGAATATGAGGTCAGATGTTCGCTGCAGAAGTAGCTGTGCTAGCTGAAGAGGAAGCCTCCTTCCCTTTCCAGCTGTTGATCAACCTGCTAGGGTTGTACTGTCACTACCACCATGTGGGTGAGATCATGTGTTTGAGAGTTGCTCATTTGCTTTTCTGAAAAGCAAGCCTGGGAGTTGAATTGCCTCTCATGGGCAGCCTGATCTGGCTAACTGAGTGCTGAGATTGCTGAGGAAATGCTCCCATGACACAGTTTCACCAGTCGGCACCTTTGGGAGAGGTAGCTCTCCAGAGAGCTGGTTGCAGTCGGCAAGTGTTAACCTCTTGGGCTTTGAGCAGGTAATGGCAGTTCTTGCCTAGCGCTGCTTTCATGGGAAAATTCCTTTGCCAAAGGGCAGCTGCAGAGTGGACTACAAGGAGCTGGCAGAATCTGTCAATGAATTTTGGCACTTTATTTTTGAAATTAAACTGAGTATCTCAATTCAGTTTGATTTAGGGATTAAAAACTCAGTTAGGATTGCAGGAAGGCTTTCAGGTATTAAATTAACTTAATCTCTCAAACCTTCGTTTTGCTATATTGAGCAGATTTCTCAGGCAAAAATATTGCTGTGGATATTATCTGAGAATTCCTGATGTCTGATAGTATCTGCCAGCTTAATGGGGGATTTATCCTGTTAGATTGTGGACCAAGATCATTAGAAATCTTCCACTGATAGTTTTCAACATAAATGTAATTGATTTCAATTGACGATAATGATTTTGCGGTTCATGCATAGTGCCTGTGTGCCAGGACTGCAAGGCTTGTGCAGCAGTGAGGGCTGCCGCTCACTGTGAAATCTGCACCTCAAAAGAAAGGAGCCTGCATGGCCTATTGAAGCAGACAGTGGCTGTTTTGGACCTTTGCTGCTCCTTCAGCAGAGGAGCTGTGGACTTGCTGAGACGTTGTTTTGAAGCACCGTGTGAATTCTTCCCGTCTCATGGCATTCTGGAAGGCAGTATAGCTTTTTTTCTGTCACACTTGGCTTATTATGGCATTTATTATGTTGCATATATGTTTGGAAAGAATCCCTCTTCTCAACCTTTCCCTCTTCCTTCCCCTCTTTTCCTTCAAAAAAGAGAAAAGAAAACTTTGAAGAAAGGAGATCATTATCATCTCCTTTAATTACAAGCAGATATTTTGGTAGAGGAGCTCTTTCTGCTTATATATTGTCATCCATTATGAAGAGGTTGATCTGGGTAGCCAGGCTTGGCAAGTAAATGTTACCTCTCATAAGGCCTGATTTACTTTTTACATGCCAGTAGCTTCTTGCTGATGAGATTTTTTTGCCTCATCTATTCTAACAGTGATTTTACTTTTTTTTTTTTTTTTCCCATTGCTTGATTTTACTTTTTTCACTACTGGAATAAAGATTAACAGGCAGCTTTGGTTCAGAAATGTCTTTCCATGGAGAATTCCAAGAGCCAGGTTCTATTGATAAGCAGAGTGCAGTTTCTCTTTGTAGTTTCTTTGAAAGACAATTAAAGTAGAATTTTTATTTATTTTCTTAAATTGAAGTTGTGCTTCTGGTTCTAGCACTATTAATTAGCAGTTCTGCAGGTGCTGGTAAATTATCCCCTGCTGTCACCATGAAAAGTTTATGCACCTTGATCTACTAGTGGAAAGGATCATGTAATGAAAAACTACTCCCTTTGGAAGAAAAATCTAGATGTTTCAAGCTATTGTCCCTGACTGACACGTGAAGGGAGATCTCTGACAGCAGCCATTCAAAGTGAGCCAAGTTTACACTCATCTTTACTGGCAAGGTAAGCCAACCCACTGCTGCCGGCTGAAGCAATTCAAATGGCTCTTCCCCACCTGCTCTGCTGTAGTAACCAGAAAGAAATGCTGTTTTCAACAATATAAGCAATTTCTAAGTGGTTCATATTGCAAGAAAGAAAGCAAAATAAGGTCCTTTCTGCAACTCAGCTTGATAGTTTTATGTATGGATTCTGTGGCTGAGCCTCTTAAGGAGGCTCAAAAAAACCAAAACAAAACAAAAAAAAGGAGGCTCTAAATAAAATAGTCTAAGCAGGAACAAGTGGGAGCCTCAAATTCTTGCCAAGGATTTAGTTATGTTCTCTTACATTATTCTTAGATTGTAGCAAAAATGTTCGATGTCTTCCTGATATTACAGCACACTAAATTTAAAAGAAGGCTCTAGATAAAATAGTCTAAGCAGGAAAAGGAATCAGAATCATAAAATGATTTAAGTTGGAAAGCACTTCTAAAGGTCATCTAGTCCAATCAGTTCAAAGAAGGACAAACTTTACAGGTAAGATGCAACTTCAATGTCAGATCAGGCGTTATAGGGTTATTCTAGAGTCTGGCTTGGCAATCTGTTCCAGTGGTTCATCACCCTCTCAGTATTTTTTTTTCCTGATATTCTTTGAGATTTTTCCATTGTGGCAATTTATGTCCATCACCTGT